CTAAACATCTTTTGCAACTCCTTCTGCAGTAACCGAGGCAGCGTTGCTCAATTCCCTGTGACAAGAACCTCACTGCTTTTCTTCCAGATCTCAAATAAAAATTCATATTAAACCTACACCTTGAGGTAATAAAGAGCCCTTGGAAACAGATTAAATTCTCCTGCTGAAGTTTAACTCCGGCAATGAAAAACTGCCAGGAACTGGCAGGACAGATGGGCAATTCTCTTGAGGAATCTCTTAAGATGTGCCACTGCTTTGCTTATCTTTCAACAATGCTAGAAGACAGGTACGATAAAATGATCAGTTCAGCTTCATTCAAGGCACAACAAAACAAAGTGTCATTGTTTTAAATGCGATTCCAGCTGAGATGCTGTCACACCCTAAATAATATAACTCAGCACAAAAACCCCACATACTGAACCTTTAGGGTCTTCACGTGAACCTCCGATTCACATTACTGTGTAGCTTTGTAGATTAAAACTGAAACCTTTCTGCTGTTTTGCCACTTATAAGTAGTGTTGATGTACAGATCTTGAGATATACTGATGAACTTTACTTCTCTCGTAAGGCTTGAGCATGGAATTAAAACTCGATCATGCACACTGGAAAGTTTTTCAGCTTCATTGTTTAGCAACACCGGGAACAAAACTTCAATGCACAAACTTAACTGGTAGGAGTAAAGGATTAAGTTTCATATTACACAGTGCACGGCTACAGTGTTCAATGCACTCCACAACCGTTTTTTAAGCTACCCATAAATTATGCAAGACAGCAAGAAAATGCCCTCACACAATCACCTAAATTATGCTAATTTCAAGAATATAAAGAACACTAAAGTACTGCTGTATTTTTGAGAGATACAATAGTGATGTGTAATGCAACCTTTGCTACCTTCACCACATCCCCACCCACTAATCAAATGCAACAATGATGTAACTGCTAAACATGCATACTGTAGCATGACTAAAGCAGACAACTTTAGTGCACTTCCTACTTGTTAAGGATTGTAGATCCCACACACAACTTTCAGGCATGCAATCCTTCACACTGCTTCTAAGCTCTACCATTGAGCTACTACAGCAGAGAGTGGAAAAACACTTAAAAACTGAGCCCTAAAAGTGCAGTGCCAATGGCTGAAATTCAAAGGATGGACTTTATTATCTATGAACATTTCCTTTTCATATTTTTAAAAAAGGGTAGCATCAGTAAATACAACTATATACATTATGTAATTACAAAAGTAGAAGCTTCATAACACCCTTTCAAGAATACTGTAGTGCAACATCCTTTTTGTATTAACACTGCTTCTCTCATATTTCTCAAACCGTCTGAAACGGTCTGCTGTGTTGTTTGAAAAGCCTTATTTTAAAACCTTTGAAACCGTTTTATTAAAGCTGCCAGGAGATTGTGGCCTCAGCCTTTCTGGAACGCTACAGCGGAAAGATTAACATCACAAAAACAACCTTGAAACGAACTACACCATTTTTTTCCCCAAGTATTAAATAAACAATAGGATAATTGAAGACCCAATGTCAAGATGATAGAATTTTACATTCAAGCCATCCAGCACAGAATCATTCGATTTGACGTGTGTGAAACCACATCGTATTTCTTTAACGAAAACCGACCGACTGCGCTGGACAATGTAGTTTAAAAGCAAGCTCTTCTCCTCAGCTTTTAATGAATACATTTAAAATGGTTGACTACAACTCCCAGGAACCTCTGCTCCGTTGCCTGGAGCTTCCTCCCCCCAACCAATCAGATCTCTGGCACATGGAATGTCAACAGCAGAGCACGTGATCACAGCGTGCCAGAGCAAAACAAAGTTATGGGGGCAGACTGCGTGCACACAGCAGGAAAACCAGATGGCGGTACCTAAATACTGCAAATACGTTCTCTATAATCCGGGGCAGGAAAAGTAATGCTAACTGGATGTAGGTCAAACATAAGCCCTATAATACCTTTCAAAATTACTCAGGAATAACTTTGAAACCAAAAGGTAAAAGAGGGAGGCAGGGTGTGGAGGCATTTTGCACAGACACCACGCAGTATTATAAAGCCCATAAACAAATCACCAAGTTGTAGTTAAAATTATTTTTTTGTGCTTTCTTTCCCTGCACTTCACGCATTCCTAATTCTTATGTTTTGGGTTGTCCTTGGAGAACACGGCTTAGAAATGTGCTTTACCTGGAAGTCGTGCAGTGCAACAATATTTTCATGTTTCAGCTCCTTTAACAAAGAAAAAAAACAAGTTGTCAAGACTTTGTCACGGCGCAAATGCAACTGACGTTAAAAGTGGCCATCGTTACGGGATGTTCTTACCTTTAAAATCTTAATCTCTTTTCCTAAAAGAGTCTGGGATTTCGCCAAATTTTTCTTGTTTATGCATTTGACAGCTACTTCCCAGTCATGTTTCTGGGAAAAAATGATAACATGGAAGAAACCTTGGGTATTAATTACGTTTTAAACATTATTATTTTACATTGCATCTGTGCCAAGATTATTGCAATGAATTGTACGCTACAAAGAACTTCAGTACATGCCCAAACTTGCTCCGTCCGGTGTCCCCTAAATTGATGGGCTTGAGAAACAGGTCACGGAACGCCTTATGCCTTGTAATGGAAAACTAGACAGCACACTTGCATATTAAGTTACTAGAATACTTTTATAAATATAATCGCGTTCTTTTTACCTTGTTATCAGAACATCATTACAAATGACATGCCTTTTTGAAATCCCTCGCTAAAAACGACACAAGACCTTTGCCAGGAATAAGAACAAATCTATCCACACCTTTATCGTTTTAGTTATGGGCAGAGGAGTGCCAACCATTCTCAGTTAACCATGAAGAGTCGGTGAAATAAATCCTAGTTTTGTGCCTCGTAAAACTATCATTTTTTTGTTGTTGTTTTCCATTAAACTGTAACTATACAGGACTCTTCTAGGCCTCTCCTTAAGGAGGTATTTTTTTTAAAAAGAACTACCTCACCAGGTTGTGCAGACGCCGCGTTATTTCAAAATAAAAAGCACGAATACACCCCCGGAACACGTCCAGGGACACCAGACAGTCTCAAAAGGCATGCAACAAACTATCTAGCCCACTGGAAGTCTAGTTTTTTACCTCTTTGTGCCTTCCTTTGAACACCACCGCGAATGCGCCATGTCCAATGAGGTCCTTCCTGTAGAACTCGAATTTCCCCACGCTCTCCATCTCTACCAGCTCTCTGCGCTTCTGACAGCTCGGTGAGGAATGAAATAAAATCAGGATCTTGGGCTCTCTTGCGAGTCGACCCGCTCTTCTCGGCTGTTAAACTCCCGGCAGCTAGAAAGTCGCCCTATTCCTCCCAATGCCATGGGCTGCCTTTCGCTAAAAAAATAACCTTCTTCAGTCATGTTCGCGCTTGAGATCATGAAGGATGATCTCTCCCTTTTTTTTTAGCGACGATTTTCTGCCATGGCTTTCAACACCATCTTGTTGACGAGACTTCAAAACAGCAAAAAATCTCTAACTCTCGAAGTCTACCTTAAAAAACACCAGAACGCTGTGTTTGTATACAAAAGGAAGTCTCAATGTTATCTTCCAGTCATTAAATAACGTGCATGCAAAAAGATAAAGGCGCTTCTAGCCTGGGTTGTATGTTCCAAAAATCCGTTTGACAGATCTGCTTCCTTTTCTGACAACTGTGTTCGTGAAATCAATTTGTTTTGACAGAAATCGTCTCCAGGACCAAACAAAGACCTCGGTCCAAGCTTTCCTTTATGTGGGTGCCCGTGCGCAGGCGCGAGACTTTTTCTACAGCTGATGTCAGAGGAAATACAGGACCTTTAATTACTCATTCATGAGACCGGGGAATTTAAATTATTCAAAATTTTTAATGATCATGGACCTTAGATCTTAGTACCTGTGCGATGGACATGTAAGTGCACATACGATTAAAGATAAAATAAGTAGATGACTATTTCAAACTATCTACTTTTTAAAGTGTTGTTTCATTATAGGAATACCTTTTCAATGCACAGGGAAATATATTTGTAGCATCCTTTAAAGTGTTTGACACAGGAAAAACATAGATAAACGAATTAACGGTTCAATGATAATAGTAGAGTACAATACTATAGCCTTTTATGATATCTATATCTCCAATATGCAAAACGATAATCGTAAATATAATAATAATAATAATAATAATAATAATAATAACAACTCTACACTTACTGCATGTAGCGCTTTTCTAGGCACTTCTCTCGAAATGTTTCACAGGTAAATGGAACTCCCCTCCAACTGGAAGATGCGACGGCAGCCAAAGTGCGCCGGTACTCTGACCACACACCAGCTCTCAGTGGGGAGGAGAGCAGAGTGATGAAGCCAGCTCAGAGATGGGGCTTATTAAGAGGCCATGATTGGTGAAGACCAGAGGGGGAGTCCTTTGTCCAGGTAACCCCCTATTTTTTTTTAGAAACACGCTGGGATTTTTAATGACCACGGAGATTCTGAAACTCAGTTTTACGCCTCAATCACAGGACGGCACCTTTTTTTACACAATAATGTCCCCGTCACTATACTGGGGGCATTAGGACCCACACAGATCTCAGGGTGACCCCCTACTGGTCCCACTGACACCTTTCCAGCAGCACCCTTACTTTTTCCCAGGAGGTCTCCCATCCAGGCACTGGCCAGGCTCTCACCTGCTGAGCTTCAGTGGGCTGCCAGCTGTGAGCTGCAGGGTGATATGGCAGAAGCTGGCTATATCACATTTATATGATATATTTGATTTATTATGTTTTATCTTTAAATGTATTTTACCATGCACGTTTGAATGTATATTATCTAAAAGAGATAATTTTGAAGATAATCAACTGCAGCGTTTAATTTTTTATATCAGGCCAAATTAATGAATAAACAGCATTCAAAATGTGTTTGAAAACGATTCAAAGCTATCCCCAACAAGAAAACTGAAGCATTATATTGACTAATGTACATAAATATTTACCTAAGTAATCTAATATACTTATTTTCTTCTTTTATAGCATAAAAAGGTTTCATTTAAGGACAGCCATACTTATGTGAGTACGGCTGTTATGTTTTTTTCCAATACGAAGGTAAATGGATGGAGTAAGGACTTATAAATTCAAATGGGTGTTTCACTTATAAAATGCTTTGATACTTTCTGAAACGTCAATCACTATTTGCATTGGACTTTAGTAAAAATGTTACAGTGGTACACACCACTTAATATGTGACTCATGTTAAAGATGTACTGTATTATGATGGAATACCACGAGGGGCTCCTATTCAAATCTTACCATTAACATTTTATGCGCTCCTAGGGTTTCAGGTTTTACAGTTAGCTAGCGATATCATGAATCTGACTTTAACGTATTTGTATTTTCGTGTTGCAGATATTTACAATCTCATGTTATTTCGATTGCTGAGTTATATTTTCCACAGTCTCTGAACAGGGTTTGTAATACCCCATCATTGACATTACCAGCAGTACAGTAGGTCGCAAATTTATAACGTGTGAAACATACTAAGTCCTTTGAAGGCCACAGTGCCCTCTGCTGGGATGCACGCATAATTAATTTGATTTAGGCTAATGTATTTCTTTTTTCAGACGGCAGTAGTGTTGCAATTTTAGATAAGGAATTTCCTGAAAATCTGAAGTCTCTCTTCATATCTCCCGACAGAAGGTGACTGTGCTCAGACCAACTCACAGGCTGCATCAAACCTATCTTCCAAGAGCACATCAATAAAAAATGCAGTGAAGTTGTGGTATACAGCAGAATTTCCCAATCCAGGCTTTGTAGGCCCATATAAGTGCTTTTTTGTTCCAGGCATGCTCTCAGATACACAAACAAACCTTTAAGTGACTTATGTGAATAATAGGATTCACTTGAACTCTTTGATTGTTTTCGGCTCTTATAAACATGTTGGAGGCTGCGTTTTAATTATTGTATTTAAGAAGTAACGTCAAATGCTAAACTTTTGAACTGGAAAAAAGTAGCACTGATGGCACATATTAGCTCAATTAAGGCACCAATTAAGTAATTAAGCTCAACTGGAATGAAAACCAGCAGGGGTGTGGGCTCCCTGGACAAGGATTGGGAACCCCCAAGTGTACAGGACATGAGTAACCAACATTTTCTGCCAGGATATCTGCTGTGATTGTTGTAAGAAGAGATCAGCTCTTATTTCTTGGATGAAGCATATTCTGTTGTTTCTGAGGACACTCAAGAGTCCCCACCCCCCCAGTATTGGCTCCAAAACAGTCTCCGTGGTCTCCATGGTGTTTAGCTGAAAGTGCTCATTATGTAGACTTTTCCCAAGCATTACAATGGCTGGTCATTGTTTCAGCCTGCTTTAAGACCACATGTCAAGGAAACTGCAGCTGTGTATATAGCCTTTGCTTATCGAAACACAAATAAATTCCCTGGCCTTTGTTTTGATGTTGAAGTGGTTAAATGTGTGAATACCTTGCTTGAAAATATCCTGCAGACACGTGGCTTATATTAGCTACACTGTTTCTCACAGAGTATGAATCACTAAAGTTTGACATGTTGCTTCGTCCTGGCCTTAGATTTTCCAAGCATTCATGAAGCAGGTTATGCATGGAGCTTAGTCCATTTCCCTCTGGGAAATGCTACTGCTGCCACTGAGTGGTGGATTTCCACACTGCAAGTAAAGTTTTAGTGATAAGAAAATCCCAAGCAAGTGTCTATGATACCCTATGCTGAAGAGCCTCCACCATCTGGATTAGCAGATGGGTGGAGAGCTAATCTAAGGAGCAGTATAACACAGTGTGTCTTGTAGGGGCAGTCACCACTAACACAGATACTGAAGTGAAAGAAGATGGTGAAATAACTATATAGATGTCTATGCCAGACTAAGATTACAGTCATTTTTGTCATTTCTTTCAAAGGACAAAGAACAACTGGACAAGACCAGTTTGGATACATACAGTAACGATCGAAGACCTGGAAAATCAGTTTATTATTCACTAGGTCAAGTTATCAAGTGC